AACGAAAATTCGTATTAATGCCAAAAGTAACGAACAGGTGTTTATATATCCTGCTCTGATTTATATCTGGTTTTTCTTTATTTTCCTTATTTTTCTCTTACTCATTATCCTTTCTTGCATTTATCTACTTAACACATTCTGGCTACTCTTATCTCAACATTTTCCATATCCTATTTATTTTTTCACATCTTCTTTTATCGTATCCTGCGCGTGTTGGTAGAAACAGAATAATACCAAAATGAAATGTTTTTTCAATTAAATATTCCATATGCTAGATTTTATTTTTTACATATTTGTATTTAATTCCATCGTTACACGCTGGAAAAATTTCTGTCTTTAAATTGATGAAATTTTCTAACGAAGCTGAAAAAATGGTTAATGTATTTTTTTTCATAATTTTTTTAACATAATTAGTAGTCAAGTATAATTTTAATATTATTTTCATTATAAAACTTTTAATTTATGAAAATTTACATTTATTGTATAAATTCATCAAATTCAAATTTTTTAATATTAAAAAGCTGATATTTTCATTAATATCATTGTGCATTAGGATAGTAGAGTAACAGAATCAATAAGTTTATCAAATGGAAGTAAGTTAAATAATCGATTAAAGCTCATCTCTACATTTTTTTCAGCACATGGCTTTGTTACAAAGTTATCTTTATAAATTTATAAATATCTTATGAAACTGCAATGTTCGCTTTCTCAGAGTCATAGGCTTTCTTACTACAATTTAAATTCAAACATTTGTCTACGTTCCTACTTTAGGAAGAACAATAGTTTTTTATCAAAAGAAATATATTACTGAAAACGGATTTTAAATAAAAGAAGAATTCAACTTACTTACAGAAATCAATTTCAAAGTATGTTTCAAAGGTATATATATATATATATATATCGAATTATAGTTAAAACCCATATAGTCTGTATACAGTTTTACATAAAATGTACTAACAAAGTACTACTTTTTCTAAATTGTAAATTTGATATTACGAAATAAATAGTATATAAAGAAATCTAAATCATATTGATCAACGTTATAATCATATGTTTACCCTAAGTATTAATTGCAATGGAAAAAGATAAACAATTTTTTTTTCAATAACTTTGAACTCACTCCGTTACGTGTTTGCATTAGTATAGTAAAGCACTGCTAGTATTCCTTATATAACGATAAATAAGATTGTCAGTGCAGGACTATATGCTAGGACTTTTTATTCATTTGCAGCTCATTCGGGAAATATACCATGGCCATTTCCCAGGTTCACGTCATGTTCGTTAACATTTACCCCTCTTGCGCCTCGTGCATTTCTCTTATTTCGTTTATTCCTGCAACTGAACCCATCTCCCTCTTATTTCATTCATTTTTCAATGAAAAAATTTGTATTGTGAAATTTTGCGCATCACCGTGAATCATGTGCAAAACTATCATATAAATAGTATTTCTCGCGAATGGATTATTGTAATTATTTTTTTTTTTTTTAAGTGGCTTAATAATTTATCGAATTATAGTAAATAGATCAATTTTATAAAAGCAGTTTGGCAATCGTACTTTTCCCAAGCGCTCATGAATTTGTAAAGTACTTCGGTCTGATAGGTAAGAAATCATCGGTCCTAATTGATGTAGCTCGTTTTAATTACCAATTGCTACCCACTAACTGCAATTCCTATAGAAGTGTTAGAAAAATAGTCCTCGCTTCTCTGGCGGAGTAACGAAGTGGAAACAGAAATTTATTCGCTGTCGAGATAACACTCGAACACGTGAAGCGCTTTTCTGCGTAACCTCTATTTATTGATTCCCTTAACAGCGGAAGGAACTGAACACTAACAACTTTTAACTAAGGACGAAAGTCGTCGCTCTAGATTACATCTATACAATTTCGCAGTACGCAAAGTAACTTAATCGTGAATGGTAACTCACCGCAATTCAAAGTAACTTCACCGTTTAGAATATGAAGAGCGCGCAAATAATAGCCCCTCCACTCCTGGGAATAATATTTTTTTAATCGAATAAACCGATTAAGTATACCGTAATCGAGTCTGTAATTATCTACATTAATAATATAGAGTGTCCTTCGAGCTTGCGTCGTTATAGCTAGGAATGGGGCAAGTAAGGGTTAACGAAAATGAAAAGTCGTGGTAGATGAAAAGGGATAACGCAAAGTTGTAATGATGACATAAGGTAAGAACGTTAAAAAATTCAGTGCTTTTTTTTTACAAAGAGAGATGAGTGAGATAAAAAGAGAAGGTGGTGAGGAAATTGTTTTCGCAATGTTCAATTAGGTGAGCTATGGAATTGGATTAATTTGCTCTCGTCGCTTCTTTTTTGACTCTTTTTATCATCGTCATTATTATTATTATTATTATTATTATTATTATTATTATTATTATTATTATTATAGTTGATGTCTTAATATATTTCATACAACTTTATTTATCTCTTTCATCTCAATCATTGAATTTTTCTCCATATTGGTAATCAATCATCATATCTTTCACTCTTTTCGATGAGACTAATTTTATTTTGTTACATTATTCTCTCTTATTAGGAAATTGATAAATTAAAAAATGTCACATATATAAAAATATAATTATAATTGTTGCTTTAACGATTTCAATAAAGCAATGAGTTTTTTGTAGTATCAGATTAAATTCCAATTACCGAATGCTCTAATTTATAAAAATAGATTGGTGAAAAATTATTATTCATTAAAAATCCATTATAAATTCTTTACATAAAATGCTATTACAATTAAAAATAAATATTTCTGATTTCTCATATATATATACACACACAGATATTCTTCATTATTACGAGAGTGATAGAATTATAAGTAAAAATTAAAATTTTATTTATGAGCTAGTAAGTCACGTCGCTTATAACAGATATGACATACATTAGAAATATAAGAAAAAAAAAACGAAGATGGCTTCAGGCATGGTAAAAATAAATTTAAACGAAAAATATATTTTGCGCTTACTAAACCACTTATGGAATAATGAAAAATTTTATGCTATTATGGTATTTATGTTAAAAAAAATTTTATTTCATACATAAGCATAAAAAATTTGTTATTGATAAACATACTTTTGAATTATAAATGTTTTATATAATTTTAATAACTTGTGAAAAATAAAATACTTTATACAATTTATGTTACTTTCCTTCTTGCAACATAAAAGTTTACTATACCCTGTGTGTACTCTTATATTATGTCAAATTAATAGTAAGTTTTGCTTTATAGGATAAGTTGTATAAGATACTTTAACATATAGCCTATACGTTTGAATTAGTAATAAATTTACTAGTTTAAACAATGAATAATTTTTATCTATCAATACGTTTAATAAGATCAAATTTAGTAATGAATGATTGGGGTAAAATTATGAGTTTTTAATAATCGTTGTCATTTTTTTTAATCGATAACTTTAATTCTAATTGTCATACAATTAACATAGATGACAAAAGTTGAATTTTCAAACGCATTATAGAATGTTGAAAACAAATGTCTATACATGCGAAGTTGAAATTTTGACTAAACTTGATAGTAAACTTTTAATAAATTTTTAATAAATTTCACCCTATAAATCACACAATAACGCAGTATAATAAATCAATTCCCAATATATTTTAATATATTTAGCTAACTGTAAATATTAATCCCTAGTCTAGTAAGTTTGATTATTAACTCATAAAGTAATAGATAACTTGTGAAAGCTTCCGATCGTACTGTGTGATTTTATACTTTCTATTTTCCAGAATCTGAAAGCGAATAGGGAAAGGAATCATTTATGAAAACCAGATGATAAAAAGGAAGGTGAGCTATACGTGTAATTGTAAAAGCGAAGCGAGTACAAAACTGGAGCTCGCGGAACTTTAGTTGGCTGCAAATATTTGCCTTCGCACCAAGAACTCATTTCCCGTTTCATCTTCATACCCGATGGACTAAATCTTCACTTGCTTGGGATATCAAACCCTCTTGCTTTGGCTTAATGTTTGATGCAGCGTGAACGTAGACGCTGCCTTGGAATATCTACCAAGATTCTTAACCCGAAGGTTAATCGCATCGGCATATACGTGCAAGAAAGGAGGCGAGTTAGTTGGGGCGGAGAATTTTCGGCCGGCCAACTTTATCGGCCGCTTCTGAAAAACTTGAGTTTCCTAATTGCTGCGATAACTTTTTAATTTAATTTATATTAGTTCAGTTACAAGGACAATAGCTTAGCTCGCAAGCACGACTACGCACGCTGCCTTCATATCCGAAAAAGTTGCAATTTTGTTTGGTGGTAAGTTCGTTAAAGCGATGCTCGTTAATGAAAGAAATGAAAGAACTTTTGAATTGTCAGAATAACGATGCAGCCATCGCCACGTATATGTATTGCAAGACACGAACTTAGTCCTTCATAACAGCCGGATCAGATGTTTATCTAGTTAGAGATAGAAAGGAAGAAAGATAAAGCTAAAGTAGCAAAATGGCATTTGGTTTGTTAAATTGTATAGCTGGAGCTCAAACCGCATGAGTATGAAACCGAAGCCGAGTCATAGAAAGAGAGAGAGAGAGAGAGAGAGAGAGAGAGAGAGAGAGTGAGTGAGTGAGTGAGTGAGAGAGTGAGTGAGAGAGAGAGAGATATTTCTCAAGAGAGTTAAATTGTATGGTATTTGCTTTCAGTAATTATCCAAGTTTATCTCCTCTCTCTCTCTCTCTCTCTCTCTCTCTCTCTCCTTTTTTTTGGACGAACGTCTGTGTCACGCCTGAAGCTTGACCTAGTAATTACAAACAAATAATTAGTTTAATTTACTCTTGTTTCCCTTACAATATTCTTGAAAATCTTTACTTCAACAACTATTATTTGGTAAATAATATTATTCGGCAAAATAACGTTATTTTTCAAAATCTGAATTATTGCATTTTATAAATTTACTTTCATTTCATGATATTATACATTAGCATTTTCATTATAATTGGATAATGGCAGATAAATAATTATAGACTTACCGATCGTAGTGAGTACAGTAAGTGAATAGAAGAATGCTCTCGCAAAATTCCATTCGTAATCCATCAATTTCTTTTCAGTAACGTTGTCATTGTTTACCCGAGTTATCGAATGTTTCACAGTCTCTAAATTATCTGTTAAAGTTCGGACAACTTGTTCCTGAAAACGAGCTAGTTCTTCAGATGCGAGTCTGGTCCAATTTTCATGGTATAATATATTTAATTTCTCAGTGGTAATCCATAAATTTTCTACAGTATGAGCTCGAGCTTCGTTTATCTGTAGAAACAAAAGATTATGTTGAATAAAATTACTTTCAATAATACTAGGCTATATGTATGTGCAAAAATTTTTATTATGAATTTTTTTTCAGTATTCATGCTTTATAATTATCTAATTATTAAATCAATATCAAGGCTATTATAAAATCAATTTCTAATTTTGATTTGAAATAAATTTAATAAAAACGATTTTACTCGTTTATGATAAAAGCAGATATCCAAATTATTATTAGCGGTGCTTAAATTAAATAAAATCATTATATATTTATTAATTTAGATTATGTATTTTTGATAAAATCATGACACTAAATGCTTAAATTTCCATTTAATTTCCTAGATTTATTATTATAATATTATAATTATCAATTAATATTTAGTAAGTCACAACACAGGAATATATTTGACTTATTCCCTTATTAAAATAATATTTCTTAATTAAATAATTGCTTAAATACTTGTGAAATTATTTTATGTCGCTTTTACTATTATACTCTTATTTTATTTTAAACGAACAATATTGTTATTATGAGTATTTACTTTCTCGAAAACGACGATTTCGAAAATGAATAAGAGATTTTAGAATTATATAACGATCTTTCAGATTTCAAGAATCAAATTTTCTATTTGAAAAGCTTTCTACACGTTTTACGTCTACGTATGTAAATTTTTTCTATACGTATGTATTTGGAAGAATAATTTTCTGAATATGGATTGCTCATACGTATATTTGTATTGTTATATACATATATATATATATATATATATATATTGAAAAAGTCGTTACATTTTAAAAAATTCGAATTTTTTATTTCTGTATCTGTTCTTTTTTTATTTGAATATATCAATCTTATCTTTACTAACCATTATGTTGTGATAAAATAGTCTATATTCGTATCGAAACGGAATAGAATTGAAGTTGTTCATTTGAAATTTTATAGAAATACAGATTTCATAATTATTAACTATTGAAATAAAATTGTTTAAATTTTGTAACTAAGATTCCGAAATCAGAATTCTGAATTTAACATAATGATAATACTCTTTTATATTTATTTATTATGTAATTGGCGAATAAATATAAATTACAATAATTTATTTTTTATTATATTTTGAGTTTAATTTGAATTTTATGCCAAAAATGGTAATTTAAAATACCTCCCCAATTTTATTCATTGCGTATTATTTTCTTGTTTACTTTTTTGTATAAATTTTTGTATTAACAAAAAGAAATAAAAAAAAAAAATGAAAAAAATTGTCAATTCTAAGAGAAAAGTCTCAGAATTACTATTTTTATTACATCGCTATTACATTGTCAAAGACGCATTAATTTTATTAATGAATAGCTTATAAGCCATTTGAAATATTACGCTGAGTTCTAAACGAATTTACATTCATTATTTTAATGCTTAAAAGCCTACTGCAAAATTTGATCTTCATAATTTGTACCTACTTAGTCTTCTTTAGCTTTTAAAATAAAATGTTCTCTCTTTCTCCTCCCCCCCCCCCCTATATCTCTCTCTCTCTCTCACTCTCTCACTCTCTCACTCGCTCATCTTTCTTCCGTACATTAAAGTGCGAAAACCTTACTTTTTAGATTAACTCGATTTTTGCTCTCAAAGTTCAAAGGCTTATCTGATATAATATACGAATATATGTTTATCTAAGTACTAAGTTGAAAGTATGCGCCATGATCTATTATTACCAAAGGAATTACCGAGCCATATTACAAAGTCACTTTTTTATAAATCGATAAAAAAAGAAGTATTTATTGGCAAAGGATTGTGAAATTTACTGACTGTAAGCCTTGTCTTCGAGCTCGATTGAATTTCAGCTAATTTGAAAATTATAGCGCCGAGAAATTTATTGGACAAGTGAAGCTGTGTTGAATTTAACTTCGTCTTTTCTAATGGACTCGAGGCTGGCTGTGCCGATATAAGGTAAGACATTGAACTTGAACTAACACTAAGACGCGAAGGCGGTGCGCGCAGCCACTAGTTCACCCCTACCTGCATGAGCCAGCTGACGTTCTTCCTTCCCGCGTTGTGACCTTGATCTGGTATTGTAGTGGCGAGAAACCTCTGCTGGGGCATCTCGCTCGGACCCTCGATATAAAGAAAAATGAAGCTGCCGAGGAGAGTGTAGAGGACCAGTATGGCGCATATAGCCAGATTAACGAGGAAGCCCTTGAGAAAGGAGTGCCGACTGGCTTTCTCGGGTACGCTACCGAAGCAAAGACAGCGCACCTGGGAGTTGGGCGTTGGGCCCACGGGTGTCTGTCCAGGTCGCTTGAGAGAAGAGGTGTTGCCGTTGTTAGCAGGCTTGAGACCCTCGTAGGCCCGGTAGCAGCCTGCCGCGCGCTCCTTCTCCATCCTCTCGCAGCCCTCGTCGTGCTCCTCTGTCTCGTCGTCGGAGGTCGTTTCACTTTGTTGCTGTTGCTGTTGCTGTTGCTGTTGCTGTTGCTGTTGTTGCTGTTGCTGTTGTTGCTGTTGTTGCTGCTGTTGTTGCTGTTGTTGCTGTTGTTGTTGCTGCTGCTGATGTTGATATTGATGCTGCTGCTGATGTTGATATTGATGCTGCTGTTGTTGCTGTTGGTGCGGCTGATGCTGATGCTGCTGATGTTGATGTTGCTGCTGATGTCGCACGCAAGATGGTCGTTTCCTAAATACGGCCTCCTGCTTGCCGTAAGAATCGACGGGGAAGAAGGTGGAGAAGCAGACGTCGCAGGCGTCAGCGGCTGTCCCGGCCCCGGCCAGTTCCACGGGCTCCTCCAGGAAGGTCACCCGCTTCTCGCCCTGCCTGCCGATCTTCGCCGCTCGCTCTGCGGGCGCAACGGCCAACGCGTCGAACTCGCCGCTCGGCTCCAGCGCAGCTGAGCTCTCCAAGGTTCCGGCTAGGCCGTCGGTCTAGGCCGAGGGTGTGGCCTCTTCGCGGCTTCCCTCTCGGTGCCCGGTTCGAAAGCTCGGACGAACCTGCGGGCCCGGGCGCTGCCTCAGCCTCTCGAAATTCATGATGTCTGGCCGAATTGGGGCGGAGAGGCAGGAATGGGGAGGCGCTTTGTCAACGCGTTCGTGCCACCGTGGCTTCTGAATTATTCATCCTGCGAGCTGTTGGGCACCGATTGTTTATTCCGCGACCGTGGACTCGCTTTGTCCACGTGAAATTGCGCGACTTGGACGGGATCTTGCGTCAACCGAGCCCAAGTATCTACGTCGCGTATGTATCTTCGCATGTGAAAATCACCCTCGCCTTCTGCAGTCGCTTTTGCACTTAAGCGCGCGAATTTATAAATTCTCTGACGTATTTGGTGCTTGGGTTGGGCCTTGATTATTTTTCTTCTGCGGGTGCCTAGTATACGTTGCTATGTTTGCCGTGGAAGGAGGAGCTCATGGCACGAGACGGCCAGAGTTCCTTTGCACTACTCTTGACGGCCATATCAGAATTAATATAATCTCGTCTCTAATCGATTATTGGAAGTTTTGCTTTAGGCTTGGGCAATGTCACGGCAATTTTCATGTCTCAATGATACGATTTGTTTCTCGTCGGCTTCCACAATTTCACGAATTACTCGACCGTTGATTTTGGTTACCTGAAACACAAAACGTTTTTTTCTTTATAAGATTATATATTATTGACATTTCAAAAGTCATCGCCTCAATCTATTACGCGAGCAGTGCGCAAAATGATTAAAAAAATCAAATTCTTCGTTTAAGTTTTAAAGCGAGTCAGTTTGAGGTCTAAAGGTTATTATCACTATTATCTATTTAATTCTAATGTTCGATATTAATTTCAATGTTCAAGGAAAGATAATTACTCTTTTGGTAGAAATAATTCTTTGTATTAAAGTACGTTTTAGAATTTTTATTTAAATAAAAGAAGATGCATTGAATAAAGTAGGTATAATATAAGTGTATTTATTGTCGAGTAACAATAATTGCTGTACTTATTTAATTATGCAGATGAGTTTCTTTGATACTTTTAACGTTGAACTTTGCGAAAGCGGAGGATCTTGAAATGTGTCTTTTCAAAATGGCAGGTTCATTGAATAACAATACAACGTAAATGTCAAGATCGTGGATCTATCTACATCTACATTGCCGTCATCTCTCTTGCCGTTTTGCAAGCTTGACTTTGGATCTATTATGTACAGATTTCGTATCCCCGCAAGCCCGATAAAAGAGTTAGTATTGTCTCAACTTCTTAAATTGAAAGAAGTTAAGATAATCGGGTTGGCTTAAATAATTCCGAAGGTGATATTACATAATACGCGAGTAGGAAATTGGGCGGTGAGGTGGCCTGAAGGTGACAAAAGCAATGCGCAAAGCGTCAATATATAGCTTCGCGATAAGCGCTCGTGGTCTCGATATCTCAGTGGATTAGACCTTGCCTTTTCGCTCTTTCTATTGCACCATCCATAAATGCATGCATCGGGTCCATAATCAGATAGGGATGATGGAGCTCGAAAGGGATCACTCTCACCGCGCGAACGATTCAAGCTTGATTTCTCAGTAAAAGAACGCGGCTTTAGTGCTCCTCACACTCT